CAAACTATAAAGGATAAGTTTCCCATTCCGGTGATTGAGGAACTTCTTGATGAGCTACATGGGTCCAGGGTGTTCTCAAAAATTGACCTAAGGTCAGGATATTGGCAAATAAGGATGAAGGAGGAAGACATTGAGAAAACAGCTTTCAGAACTCACATGGGTCACTTTGAGTTTGTGGTCATGTCTTTTGGACTCACCAACGCACCCTCAACCTTTCAAAGCCTCATGAACCATATCTTCCAACCTTATTGGAGAAGGTTCATCTTAGTTTTCTTTGATGATATACTTATATACAGTCCAACATGGACTGACCATGCTATGCATTTAAGGCAGACTTTGGAGATACTACAGAAGCATCAACTTTTTGCTAAAATGAGCAAATGCTCATTTGGGGTAACCAAGGTGGATTATTTAGGTCATGTGATATCTCAGGAAGGAGTAGCAACTGATCCCAACAAAATAGCAGCTATGGTAAACTGCCCAGTCCAAGGAACATTAAAGCATTCAGGGGTTTCTTGGGACTCACTGGTTACTATAGAAAATTCATTAAGAATTATGGAATTTTGAGTAAACCGCTGACAAACCTTCTCAAGAAAAACGCATTTGAATGGGACATAGAAGCTGAATCTGCTTTTCAGAGATTAAAGGTAGCTATGAGTCAAGCCCCAGTCCTAGCTCTTCCCAATTTTCAGATCCCATTCGAAGTTGAGACTGATGCATCTGACAGTGGTATTGGAGCAGTACTTTCTCAAAATCAGCATCCAATTGCCTTCTTAAGCAAGGCTTTATCAGAAAAACACAAGGCACTCTGCATACGAAAAAGAGCTCTTAGCAGTTATATTGGCAGTTGAGAAATGGAGAGCATATTTAGTAGGCCAACACTTTATTATTAAGACTGATCATTTCATTCTGAAATACTGGTTAGAGCAAAAGATAACTACACCTTTTCAAAGCAAATGTCTGCCCAAGTTGATGGGTTTAGATTATGAAATTGTGTATAGGAAAGGAAAACTTAGCAGCTGATGCTTTATCCAGAATACAAGGGGGAGAGTTACTACAAGTGATAGTATCTGAGATCAATTCAGAACTGATGGAAAGAGTAACAAGGAGCTGGGAGATTGGGAAATTACCTGAGATCATTGCTAATCTCAAAGATGGCAGCAATAGCAGTAGGAATTATGAATGGAAGGATGGCAAGTTATGTAAGAAGGGAAGAATAGTGGTGGGAAAGGATGCTGAGTTGAGAAAAGATATTATTAAAGCAGTGCATAATTCAGCCCTAGGGGGACATTCAGGAGTACAAGCTACTTATCAGAGATTACACACTCTATTCCATTGGAAGAAAATGAAAAAAGAGGTTAAGGAATGGGTAACAAACTGCAACATTTGTCAGAAGAATAAGCCTCTCTTGCAAAACCCGGCTGGACTGTTACAACCTCTACCTATTCCTGAGGCTATATGGAGGGATATCTCTATGGACTTTATTGAAGGTCTTCCAAAATCCCAGAATAAAGATACTATCTTAGTGGTAGTAGATAGACTTAGCAAATATGCCCATTTTATATTGCTCAGCCACCCTTATCAAGCGAGCACTGTGGCCAAGGAATTCTTTGATAGTGTATTCAAATTACATGGACTGCCTAGATCCATTGTGAGTGACAGGGACAAAATCTTTCTAAGCAAGTTCTGGCAGGAACTATTCAAGCTACAGAAAGTGGAGTTAAAGATGTCCACAGCATACCATCCACAAACAGATGGACAAACGGAGAGTGTGAACAAATGTGTGGAAACATATTTGAGGTGTATGGTTGGGGAACATCCTAAAGATTGGGCAAAATGGATTACCCTAGCTGAATGGTGGTACAACACTAACTACCATTCTTCTATCAAAACCACTCCTTTTGAAGTGGTATATGGGCAGTCTCCATCATTACATTTTCCTTACACTATTGGAAATAGCCTGGTAGAAGCGGTTGACAGAAGTTTAAAGGCTAGAGAGGAATGCATCAAAATGCTGAAATTCCATTTAAAAAGAGCTCAAGACAGAATGAAGAACCAAACTGATCAACACAGAAGTGATAAAGAATTCCAAATTGGAGAATGGGTTTATGTCAAATTGCAGCCCTACAGACAACAATCTGTAGCTAAAAGAGAAAATCTTAAGCTGGGTCCTAAATTCTTTGGTCCCTTTGAAATCATAAAAAGAGTTGGACTGGTGGCTTACAAACTACATCTGCCGGAAGAAGCTAAGATACACCCAGTTTTCCATATATCCCAGCTCAAAAGACATAGAGGAGAGTTACCAAAAAGAATAAACTTACCACAATTGGATGATCAGGGATTAATTCAAGTTGAACCAAAGGAAGTTCTGCAGAGAAGGATAGCTAAGAAGAAGGGTGCTGCTGTGGTATATTGGCTTGTACAATGGGCTAATGGTGAAAGAGAGGATGCAACATGGGAAGCATATGAGGAGCTCACCAAGAGATTCCCAGAATTTGTAAAAAGAAACACAACAGCTTGTGGACAAGCTTCTTAAGGGGGATGGATTGTTATAATTCTTGAGGTGTATACCTTGTCATGTATTACGTGGCTGTTTAGAATGGATACGTGGAATGTATAATTGTAGTTGCTTGCATATACGTAGTATACGGATTAGTTAAGTTTGTTAAAACTAATCTGCTGAGTTGTTAGCCGGTGTAGATAAATACGTGTGCAGTCAATAAAGAAGGAAGCTTTTACTCTCTATCGAACTCTCTTCCTAACAACTAGCTCTCTATTGTTCTTGTTCGAGTTCTTTTCTTTCTCAGGAACTCCTACTTCACATACGTACTTCAGATTTCATCTCTAGTATGTAACATTCCTACGTTAAGGAGAGTTCACATGTGATACCACCCTTATTGTGAGAACCACGTTATCCAAGTAACCATGTTAATGGTATGGCTGGGAATGGTGATACAAAAGAAAAAAAAAATCCAGGCCGGGAATAACTCTCAATCTGTCATGCTCTTTATCTGCAAGGTGATACAAAGCAATCTTCCTTGAGGAAATTACGCGTAGCTTTCAAAGGAACTGATAGAGTTGCTGACATGGCTGGCAGGGAATAACTCTCAATCTGCAATGCTCTTTATCATCCTACTTTAGGGTAACAAAATCCAGGGATGAAATCTGCAAACCATTCCTCATTTTTGTAATATTTCTCCTGGGAATTTTTTCATTTCAGAGTCATTTTGAACAAGATTTTTATCAATTACGAAGTACTTTGTTAAAAAGCCATTACATTTTACGCTGCCATATTATACGGAGTAATAATTTGAATATTGTGAAAAAATTACCTTTTATTTTAAATTTGTATATTATTATATTTATACTAATATAATAGCTAATGAATGTTGACCGGGTTTTCCCCGACGTTGTTCGGCCTGACCCGTGACCCGGTCATATGTCCAGGTCGCTCACCAGTTCTTGCAACTTGTGTTTCCCCTTCTTTGACGGCCACTCGCCCTTTGATAAATTATTCCAGGTGAACCGCACAGAATTGGCACACCAACTTCCCTTTTTTTGGGCGCAGAACTCAGATTTCCTTCCTGTTAAATTGTACTTTCCTTCCTCTGCACCTAGCCTCTTGTGCTTTTGATTGATACAAAAGTCATGTGACAACTAATAATCCAAAGCCCCAATGGTTATAGATATCCGCTTTAGTCTATTGAGATTATCCGAGTATGGTTATAAAGACGCATGTTCAAACTATATAATCCTATTTTACTCAATGTTGAAGCACTCATTAGTTACCGTATCACATTTAAATTATTGCTTCATGAACCACAAAGGCACAAATCAACGTTTGATTAACGTGGATGAAATTTTTGATGCCGTGCAATAAAGGTCTCCGAGTTGATATAGGAAATGAATTGTGTTGGAATTGATGAAAGGTGATCAAAGGGATGTCACATTTTGATGAAAATTGCAAGGTAACTACAAAACAAGAACCCAACTTTCATGAAATTTTAGTGTAACAATCTAATCTATTTCTATTTTTTTTAGAGTTAATCTATTTCTATTTTGGTTTTGAGAACAGACCTCCCTTTTAAAGCATTTTCCATATAAAAGTAATTATAAACTTAAACAAAATACAATGTTAGATATACCTATTGTCTAAGTAACAATGATTAACTTAACTTGACAATTTTGCTCACAGTTGCTTTTTGAAAATATAGTTTCAGCACATGTTATAAAAGTAATAAAACATGAAAGCCAATTTCTTAGAAATAATAAATAACAGTAATAATTACATTTGAACATTTAATTTCCTTTAAAAATAATGACATATTTTCCAAAACACATTTTAAAATGGAATAACTCAGACAAATAATGTCATTCAAAATATAATAATTAAGTGATATACAAGATTGCTCTTTTGAGACTGAGACTTGAATGTTATTGTTGAAGTGATATACAAGCCATTATACTGGTTAGCCATGGCCTCCTTTTGTTCTCTACAAGAAAAGTAAAAGGTATCAGCTTAGTTCAAACAGCAGCTACTTACATGAAAACTTGTAAAAAGCAAGTTATTTCAAAGTGGAAATAAATCTCAAGTAGGTAGAAATAACCATACAATCACAAGTGTCAAACTACAGATAATATCAAGGGAGAATAATAGAACAAGTGATGGAACATATGTGCCCGCACTGCTGGGTCTACATAGCTTTGGGTTTGGGTCCATCAGAAGGTCTTTGGGAGCTAATCATGGGTTTGAAGGATTTGGCTTGACTCAGAGAGTTGGAGATTTTGGCTGGTCAGCAAATGAGATAGACCCTTAGCAGGCTGGACGACCCTTGCTCATCCAAATCCAGCCTGTCTTTAACCAAGCATGATCTCATAAAACACTTGGGGTGCATGTGTTGGTCAATGTCTGAAGCCCCCTACTCTCAAAGCTAGTGAATATTGCAAAAACTTATGGTGGCATGTCAATTTTGTTATGGTTAATATTGCTTAAAATGCATTTTTAAGAATAAAAAACAAAACCAATCATCAATATCGATCACATCTTTTCTCAAGCACAACAGCTAATAAAATTTTAACAGTGAAACTCCCCCATTCATAGGAGTAAAGTTCATGTAAGAACTAAATCTAGGACTCAGAGATCTTAGTACCATAAGAGTGGTGCCTCATGCAGAACTTAGAGCATCATGGTTATGCATAAAAGGGAATGTGGGAGCATTAAGTCAGCTTAAAGCAAGATCTCAAGATTCTCACAAGTTTGTTCTTCCATGTACGAATTTAAAACCACCACTGGCCTTCAAATGAAACAAAAGTATTACAGCAAGAGGATATTCTCCTATGAGATTTCCAGAGAACCAGTGATTCTTCTGATCTCCCCAAGGCAGTCTAATATATACCTCACATCAGGTCCTCCGATCCTTTGCATTCTTTTGGTTCTTCATAAATTCTTGAAACATCTCTGCCTTCTTTCTCATTTCTGATATCATCTCCTCTGAGGCTTCAATTATTTGTTTTGGGAGCTCAACCTCCAAATACGCAAGCCACTCACCCATGGTCATAGTTTCCAAATCCAATGTTTCTATCGTGCTGAAGCTATCTGTTTTCTCAACAACATTCATTTCAACTTGAGAAGCCCCATCACTGAAATTCTCTACCTTGACTGAATTCCTTTTTCTTATTGGACTTGCATTTTCAAGTCCAGTGCCTTCAGCTTGAAGTTCATCTCCGTCCTTCTTTAAGCTAGAGGAATTTGCTGCATTACCATCATCCAAATGAACTGGTGTGACACTCTCTGCCTGTAGAATGCTCTGCTTTGTACTTCTGGTGGTGGCCCTTCCCGCCTTTGCTCGTCCTCCTCTTCCCCGGCCATTCCTGGTCCTAGGCTGACCACCATCTTCATCAGTCTCTATCACGCTGAAGCTCTCTGTGTTCTCAACAATAGCAATTTCAACATGAGAAGTCCTGCCTTTATCAAAACCAGTGCCCTCAGCTTGAGGTTCGACCTTGTCACTGATCACATTACTTCCCTTCTGAGGCCTGCCCCTGGGACGGGGAGGGGGGCGCCTCTTCGTCTTCCCCAACTCTGCATCCGCTAACCCTAACACGGGATTCTCAGACACAATGCGGTTATCTTTCTGTGCGGTGTCGGTGGCGGCTTTCGCCCTAGGGTTTACCTTTTCCTCGGTAGAAGCGCGGTGGAGACCATGGATTTGGACCTTAATTGTAGTGAGATCCCCGATCTTAATGACGTCGCTGTCAGAAAGCGCTGCAGGACAGGACGGGTCAAGTTTGTCGCCATTGAGAAAGGTCCCGTTAAGGGATCCGAGGTCGCAGATGACCCATTTCCCGTCGGAGGAGTTGAACTCGACGGTGAGGTGTCTGGAGGAGATGCCGGGATCTTCGATGCCGGAATCTGCATCTTTGATGACGAGATTGTTGAACGGCCCACGGCCAGGGCGGCGAACTCGGCCAAGTCGGACGGTAAAACCAGGTTTGAATTCCAGGCATTGGCCAGCGAGTGGACCTTTCTCCACAGTTAGCTTCAGCGTCGGCCCTTGAGCGTCCATTTTCTCCAGCTCTCAGTGCGTTTTCTGGCGGGATGCTTTGAAATTTCGAATTCGGGAATGGGAGAAGGAGCAATTAGACCAGGTAAACTTCTAAAAGCAAATAAAACACTAAGCTAAATCTATAAAAGCAAATATGACATTAAGCTAATTTTGGGACAAAAAACACATTTTGGCATGATTTTATTATCGTTTACGCCAATCATTAACAATTTCTAATGGAAGACATATCTCCTCACTCCTTACTCTATTAATTTTCTCCACTTTGACACGGAAATTTAAAACAATATGGGACCAATGTTAAAAAAAAGAAAACCACCTCTTCCTCATGTTCTCAGTTTTATCCACACCAAATTGGAAGTAAAATCATTCTAATGACCATTATAGTATTATACTACGTAAGTGTATCTAGGTTCAATTCAATCTCACATGAAGTTTAATTGACTTAGCTGGGAAGATTTCATTGCCCTTGTCACATTAGTTGTGACACCTAAGACATATTTTTTTAACAGCTTATAATTTCAAAATTTTAAATTAATTAATTAGAAAATGACTCCGTAATAAATCATTATAATAATCTGCGCTATCCCTCAATGTAGAAATGTGATACAAGGGCCAACAAGAAAACATTCTGCTTCATGCTAACATATTTTAAAAACTTACTTTATTTTATTCTTTAGGATCGCTTGTTATATCTAAATTTACTGTTTTATTTTCCATTTGATATTTATCTTAGTTGCATTGATTTTTTCAATATTTTTAGATATATGACTTTACATTGTTCGGTGTTTACATTATACATCATAATGTAATTCATTGACATGCTTAAAGTTTTGATTTGTTTAGTCTTAAAATTTTATTTAAGACCGCAATTGTGATAATAAAATAAAAAATTAATGGGAAGATGAACTCACAGTTGGCTTCTGTTAAGGAGTTTTAGGGAGTGGCCTAAATGATACGGAGTAATGAATTCATCAAAAAGGTGTTCTTTGCTCCTAAAATTAGCTTAGTGTCTTATTTGCTCTTAGAGGTTTAACTTAGTGGTCTAGTTGCTCCTAAAATTAGCTTAGTATCTTATTTGCTCTTAGAGATTGTTGGGATATTGGGTCCAGGCCCAATACCCCCGGCCCAAAGTATGAAGAAGCCAGGAGGAAACATAAGGCTCAAAGCAGTCCAGACCCGATCGGCGTTCGACACCATTCTTCTACTTGGAGTATTTCAGGAAACAATTACACCCAAACACCCATGGTGGGGTCCCGCACACCGAACGCCCTACCCGACCGGGTAGTCAGCAAGTGGAGGCCGCTTTTAATGCTAAAGCATGGTAGCAGCAAGTGGAGGCATGGGTGCATATGTGGAGGCAGGGGTCACAGCCTACAGGATTCAGCCACGTGTCCAGCTTATCCATCCTCATTTTAGTATAAATACTTGCATTAAGAACATTGTAAGGGGTTAGCATTTTAAGACTCAGAGCTTAGAAAATAGAATTACCTCTCTTATTCTTGTATTCTTGTACTTACCTACCGTTCGGGTAGTCCAGTGTAATCGCAGCATTACTGAATACAAGTTAGCTCCTGAGTTGAGTAATCTTTCACTAAAGTATATTTGATACACTTTTCAAACCAACCCAACGTCCTTAAAATATCCAAAGCTTGTATTGGGCTTTCGGATCTTCGGGATTAAACCTCAACAGAGATTTACGTTAGTGGTGTAATTGCTCCTTCTCCCGCAAATTGGATGACGGATACTTGGCTAGTTGAGCTTCACGACCGTTCTTGACAGCTACTTTGTGCAAATTAGATGGTTAATGATTAATTGATTACTGCTAAAATTGTGTCTTTTTATTTTTTTGGGAAATCTAATTAAAATTGGTTCATACGAAATTTGATAAATTTGTGATGATTTATATCATTAAATCATTAATGATATAAATCGATCTAGATGATTTTTACTTTATTTTTTTGCTTAATCGATTAATATCACAACGTAAACTCATTTTTCTTAATAACCGTGTCACCCCCTTCCGGTCCCAATGATTTTATACAATTTTGGTAATTTTCTTGACAATATCAACCACAGTGTCTACATTTAGACAGTCTTCTTGACATTGTGGAGAAAACTTATCAAAATTTAATAAAAGCGTTGAAATAAAGAGAGGGTGAACATTGTAACATTTAAGATGTTTTAAGGATTAATTGAGTGCATCAACTTCAATGAAGTGGAGTAAAGTGTTTATTCTATTGTATTTGATATTTCTAAGTACACAAACCTAGTCTTTTAGTGTGAATTGAGTACATCCGTTAGATTAACACCTTAATACGACTAAATTGGCTAATAGACAGGGGCGTAACTATGGGGCCAACGCTAGCCCCGACCTAGCTCAAATTTAAAAATAATATAGTGTAAAAAATCCATGTAATTTTATTTCAAAAATATTCTTTGTATCCGTCCAGTCCGATTCAGTGACCTGGCTCTGCCCCTGTTAATAGATTGACTTCCTAAGGATCAACACCAATCCCCAACCCCTTGGTCCCCGCATGTCAACTTCCACTTGGTCAATGCACCCCCACAAGTTGACCCCCACAAGGCCGACTTTCCATCTTTGGTCGACTACTTGAAAGTCGATGCCAGAGTCTTGGTCGACTTCCCCTTGATCGATTACCCCTTTAACATTCTATTAGACAACTCAGCAAAATTAACATGTTAATATAACCGATGTACTCAATTGACACTAATAAAACGAGTTTATGTACTTAAGAATGTCAAATGTAATATAATGTACTATTTACTCCACTCCATACAAGTTGATGTACTCAATTCACCCTTATCTCGATCCTTAATTAAATCTAATTGTGCAAACTTAGGCCAAATTACCAAATTCGTGAAAAAAATGCTTGCGACATTGGTAAAAGAAGAAGTTTTAGTGACAAAATAGTCATTTTGTTGTGAGTGAGACACTTTTGGTCATTAACTTTTGAATCTCCTTACATTTCATATTATAGGTATTGTACAATTGACATTTTCAATTCTTCTACTTTGATTTCATCATTAAAAGCGGAGGATTAAAAATGTCAACGGTTACAAGAGTTAGGGAAAAATAATTTAAATATGTCAAATTTGAAGGGTCCCAAACTTGCACATGTAATACATGTACCCCAAATTAATATAAAAATTTATATTAGCACCGTGATTATATATTTTTTACAAATGTAATTACAAACAACTAAGTCACTAACAATGTATTTCAATCCCTTATGAAATCGATGAGTTAAAAAAGCTAACAGAATTCGCTAGTATAATCTGCTGATTCAACTGCCTATTAGCTAGCTAACAACTGCTATTATCAAACATGTCCATTGATAGTTTTAGTCCTCATTTTTTATGATGAAATCAAAGTAGAAAAATTGAAAAAATCAATTTCACAATGGGATATGAAATATCGGGAATTCTAAAATCGAGAAACAAAAGTGCCGCGCTTACAAAAACTTGATCAATTTGTCATCAGATAATATATTTTTTCATCAATATGTCTCAAGTGGTTTTTTACCTATATGGTAATCTGCCTTTTCTTTTTTTTACCAATTTGGCAATTTGGCCAATAATCATGTATCCCTACGACCCTATGGGGGCGTTTACTTTTTTTCCATTATGTCCTGTCTGGATCAAAATGTCTGTCTGGATTAAGACGTCTGTTTGGATTAAGTGACACTAGAATAACAAGATGTTTACTTTGTGTGCTAATTGTGTAGTCTCAATCCTATCAAGTTACTAATTTACCCTTATGTCTGTAAATCTGTAATAAGTGTTGAATATATATTGTCTGTTTTTTTTTGTTATTCTGAATGATATTCCAAGTGTAGAAAATTTATAATAATATGATACACAGAGCGAATAAGTTCACAAAACACGACTTTAAAAATTCAAGAACGTTACAACGTTTTAAATTTAAGCGTGTACTGCTAATCTATTAGCAATTTCTTCTCGGAAATTCATCTTTGTTTTCTACGGCTCTACCCGTAATGGTCAAATTTTCTTAGATAGTGTTTGCCTTTGCTTAATAAAAGGACTTTCAGCTTTTTTGGGGGTAAAAGCTAAATGTAGTGTTTGCAAAAGAAAAATTCAGCTTAATTTAATCAGTTTTAAGCCAAAAGCTAGAAGCAGGTCTAGGGATGCTTTTTCCTGCTTCTTGGTATTTCCGTAAATAACTTCAACTTTTGGGATGTTTTTATTTCAAAATATATAAATTAATACAAAAGTACCCTTATCCCCAGCAAGTATCGTACACAGACCATCTTCCATCACCAACAAGCATCGTACGCCACACCCACATTCCACCAACCAGAAATTGCCGCCGGCAAGACCACCGGTCCACCACTCTTCTCCGGTGCCACTGTAGTTGATCCACTTCACCAGTACCATAGCTGATTTGCCTCGTCCGCCAAATAGAAATTCTCCATAGCCACTCCCGCAACAGATTTGCTTCGCCGCCGTCAATCTGTTTCGTCGTCGCCGGTCTGCTCGGCCGCCGATCTGCCCAGATTCCTTTTACCAATCTTCTGTGTGTGTATTAAATCAAATCCATTCACTACTAGTTCTTAAACCCCACATACCTAGAAACAACATATTAGCAATCCAGATTCGAGAATACCAAGATGTACATATTATTGTACCCTTTGGCACTCACCGGAAGAATCTACCACCACACTCCAGCTCACCGGAAATGGGGAAAAGGGATAAGGAAACAGCAGTGGATGCGCTATATAAATTGGGGATATTTTTGTATTTTAAGCATACATTACATCGAAAATCATTTTTTTACCAAACACTTTAACTTTTACATTTTAATTAAAATCACTTCTATTCCCAAATACTATCTACTTTTACTATAAATCACTTTTCCAATAATCTCTTCAAAAAAACATTTTTAAATAGCACAAGCAATCGCACACACTCCGTTAAATGTATTGGAAACTTGGAATGCATAAATTGAAAAACTTGACAATTTATTCATAAGATTAATGAACACATGTTGGACAGCCAACTTGTTTGAGCTACCTGAAGCGAAAAGTGCTTTGACAATCTACTACAAACATTGATACAACTTCAACCAGGATGGACTCCAAGTCTGCAACCCAACTCTCCGTTCATACAATATCATCCTGCACCCTAACTCTCAACTTCAACCACCAAGTTAATAAAATATAGCGGCCACCTTTTTCAGGAACCACCAAGTTAATAAAATATAGTGGCCACATTTTTCAGGAAACAACATACAAATATCGCAGATACAATTCGCCTCAAATGGGGGTCACTGTATAGACCAACAACAATCTAAACAATATTTCCTAAAAACAATGGTATGAAAACAACACAACAAATCAATACCGAGTATATAATAAGATCTCAGTAACAAAATTTCGAACACATATAACCTAATGTTTAAGAATATCTCATAAAAAAATATTTCGGGGATGAGATTCGAGAATGATTGAGTGAGGAGAAACTCTGCAGTGTAAAAGAGAACAAAATAAATGGTGTATATAAAACCAGAGGAAATAACGAAGGTAGAAGATGAAACTGGGGAGAATACTTCTTCCCTGCTTTCGTGATAGCTCTCAAGTTGCTCCGGTCAACAAAGTTCGTGGGCTTGTGGCGAGATGGAGAGATGGAGAGATATCAGGGATGAATTATTCCAATGGAGAAGGCAGGGTTAAAAACGAGAGTCCGCTTATGCGGATACATCTGAATGGTAAGGAGTATTAAAATGCGCTGACCGATTAAGTCATGAATGGTCTGAGCGAATAAGTCAGGTTTTAAATTACGCCGCAAGTAAACGTTAGTATATAGCTGAGCGATTAAGTCAGTATATCCATTAAGTCCATCAAGTAAACATGCCCTATCTCTCATATGTGGACTACACTACACTATGCATTTATGGAAGCTCTAACCCCTCTTTTAAGTGCACCAATCGACCCATTACCGAACAGCAAACAAGGCCAAAGGGCGAGGGCGGAGAAGAAGGACCAGCTATGAAGGGAACGGCGAAGATGAACGCTATGAGATCTGGATTGGTTGTTATAGGAGCTTTAGCTTTCGGGTACTTAACTCTTCACCTCGGTCTCAAGCCCTTCCTCCAGCGAGCAGAGGCGCAACAACACCATCTTCTTCCCGATCCCTCAAACTCGGACCAATCTAACTTGTGATTCCCCCACCTTAAACTTCATTCCTCTATATCCTTATGGGACTTTCCCCCCGATCTGCTAGTTAAACTTTTCCGATCTGTTAATGTAGCAATGCTCGTATTTGTCTTCTGTAAGAACTTTGATGCTTTCTTCGATTTAATTTTGAGTAGCTTTCTGATTTGATGCGTTGTTCTTATGGCGATTTCATTTCTTATAGATTCATTGCATAACCTGGATTAATGCTGCACTTCATGAGCCAAATTTGATAAAGAGAGTGGATTGAGGCCACTTTGAACTTAGGCATCACCATTTCTTATTGATTCTACGTATAAAATTTGCTTCATTTTATACGTATTATGTTCTTATGGGCTATTTTGGTGTAAGACTGCAGTTTCATGGAGCCACCCCCTTTAGTGCCAATTTCTTTTCGAGTGATATGTTGAATGACTGTCTAAATGGTGTTTCTACTGAATCACACATTACAATTTTTTTTTCTACGGCAGATAATTAGTGTCCATCTGAACACGAAAAATGTTAGAGAAAGGAAATTAGAAGAAAAGTAAAACATAGTTTTACACTTGATCAAAATGTTTGAATTCCAGAAATATCCAGGGAACAAGTAAAACATAGTTACAAACATAACAAATCTAATTTATATATTTGATCAAACTCTGTTTAAGTATATACTAATAGTATGTAAAGACTAAGAAATTTAAATATATATAATGTTTTAGTTTTTAAATCATATTGAATTTTTGTTGTATCTTCCAATGCAAAAGGCAAATATAAGAAAATAAAATTGCTTTGCATTTTACTTGTTCCCTGGATATTTTTGGAATCCAAACATACCCTTAATCTTGAGATACTCCTAGTCCTAGGGGTGGCATGGCTGGTTAACCGCATTTCGGTTAACCAACATTTTCTGTACCACTATTCATACCATATTTTTGGGTAACCGGACATTGGTTAACCGCTAACGGGTTAACCGAATAACCATGAAATAAATTAAATAAAAAATACAGAGTAATTAAACTGCTAACTTACATGGAGTAAAAATCTTGTGTTCAATCAATGTATAATCTGTGTTGAAGACATGAGATACTAATTACATAGTACTAATTTATTATACCCTTAACCCTTTTAGCCTCTACTGTTGGACAAAACTACTTCCCAGGTTTGGATTCGTTTCATGCCTCCATGGTGCTGCTGCAGTGTGACTGTTTTTTTTATTGCATACTAGTGTAACACCCGGGGCATGCCCCGGTAGTGTTAATTTGATATGGTCAGATGACAAATACTAATAAGCACCACCACCATGAAATATGGACGAAAAATCACCATCTTTTGGAGTACTAATTTGTGTTTATATTTTGGCTTATGTGCTTATTGTTGTAATAGTTATTAATTATTTACAGAGCTAATTATATGATGAAGGATGATAAGAAGGAGTGTTGAATTGGAATTGGGAATATGTGGAGTTTACAATTTACATTATTTAGGATATTCACGTTTATTATTAATATCGTACAATTAGAATCTCGTCCCCTGAATTAAAGTTCCATTATTTAAGAAATTTGGTTTTGAATTAGAGCTTCACTGAAATGTCTAAGATTAATTTTATATTATTAGACTCCTACTACATGTATTAGAGTCTCGTTATTTAAAGAATTTGATGTTGTACAATTAGTTTGGAAACTGAATTAATATGGCATTTATTCCGAGGATCAAACTCCACTAATATGAGTGATATTAAGAAGTTCAATACGCCTGATATGAATATTTATGATTTGAAATTTTTTAAGATCTGGTCTAAATTAATCTGAATTTTTTCTGATCTGGTCTGATTTTGTATGATCTCGCGATGTGTATTTTTCCATGTTGTTCTGAATCTTTTAAATTTGATCTGAGTTTTTCTAATTTTAATCTGATCTAAATAATTCTAAGTTTTTCTAATTTTAATCTGATCTAAATAATTCTGATCTGATCTAAATAGTTTTTATGTGATTGAGTATTATTAGTATTATTAAGTTTTTTGAAGGACTATTATTAGGTTATTATTATGATTAACAGTGTCATTTTTATCATCATATTTATAACTATAATTATCATTATAACTGTAACTATAATTTTAACTATTGGTAAGTGTTGTCAATACCTTTATAATATGTAGTATCACTATTACACCCCGGAGTAATTAAATTATAGATACCAACACCCTACACTTTTATAATAATAATCACTTATAAATAGTTAAATACTAAATAATAATAAAGTCACTTATAAATACTGATAATAATATATAGTCACTTATAGATACTGATAACAATAAAAATACATTAATAACAAAATACTTGAATAATAATATTATTGAAAATAAGCATAGTAATAATTTATTTGTACTAATAAGAGACTAACACCTCATTGATTTTAACCCAAATCTATTGTATAAATTAATGTTTTTTTGTTTTTTATACTTGCAATTTTTTTTTGATCGTTTTATACATGCAATATTGATGTCATATGAAAGCTCATAAAAAGTATAATTTTTTTTTTGTAAAAAAATTGGAGCACAAATAAATAAGTTAAAGTACATTAAAAAAGTGTTTTTTTCTCCTTCCCATTCTCCAAATGAGTAGTGATAGTAAGGATGAACCAAGTCAACTTATATGAATTAAATGTTTTAGTTGTAGTGATAAAAGACTTTTCATATATCAATAGAATTTTTAATTCAGTTTTGCTATATAAAATACTACCTTCATCTCATTCAAAAGTTCACGTCCACTATTATCCGGTCAACCTAAAGTCTTCTTAATATATTACTTTCTATATCCAACTTTTATCAAATTTGAGTTTTTGTTTTGCGAAATTATAAAACTTTTGATATAGTCTCTGAATATGTAAATTTTATTTACTAAAAAAGAATCTAATTATTGACATGTGTCAATTAACTTTATGTTAAGTAAAATATCGTAAATCGTGTGGGAGTCTTTCTACGGAATGTAAAGAGTAATAGATTTTTTAGCTTATATATATATGATACTCGTGTCATATGAATGATCATAAAAAGTTATGGATTTTGATACTACCTCCGTCCCATTTTATGTGTCTTAGTTTGACTTGGCACGGTTATTAATGAAGTGGTTGAAAAAGTAAAAGTTGTGGTTGGAGTTTGAGTATAATAAAGTGAAATGGTGTAGACCACATATTTCTTTCCGAAAGAGGAAAGTAGACACTTATTTTGGGACAACCCAAATAGGTAAGTAGGACAAGTAAAATGGGACGGAGGGAGTATATATTTTGTAAAAATTGGATTATATATATAAAAGTTGTATCACTTTAAAAAATAGATACTTCATACTCTCTCCGTCCTGCTAAGATCTTCCTGCTTTCCTTTTTTAGCCGTCCCAAAATGACCTTCTCGTTTCCCTAAATTGAAAGTTATCCTACATCAAAACTGTGTCGAACAGTGCAAAACAGTGTCAAACAGTGTCGAAACAGTGTACTCTACAGTACAATCAAATTTATTTCCTAAATACGTGTGTAGGTGAGTAGGTCAAAGTAGGAAGTTCTTAGCGGGACGGAGGTAATATTATTTCTCCTTCTTTTGGTCCAAATTAGCCGTGATGTAGGTTTTTTTTAAATAGCGGTGATTTAGGGAGTTAATGAATGATTTTAATTGTTGTGATAATAGAATTTGCATTATCCAATGGGAGGTTGACACATCATTAGTTTTTAACTCAATTTTACTATATAAAATAAAACTATAGATTTTAAAATAGTGATACTAATTATTTTCATTAACCAATAACGTAGTGACATAATTAACTATTTATAACTATGGTTTACCATATAAAGTAATAAATCAATAGATGAACATATTTTTATGTTTTTCAGTGAAGATTATCGAACTAAAATGGTGCCCCATACTGTGATGATAATTTGCACCACTGGTCGAGTTTGGTCATCACAATTCGCAATAAATAATTCATACATGTATTAGTATAACTAAATGTGGTTGTGTTAGGTTATACTTATTGGCTTCCTCACTTTATGCGTGTTTCTAACGAAATACAAAGTAATAGGAGATAAAATTGTGAGTTAATTAAACAATTAATGAAAATAAATGTTTTCGTTGACCAATAATCGAGTGACACATCAGCTATTTATAACTGACCTTTACTATATAAAACAATAGATTGGCAAATAAGAATTACGAAGCATATAACATTTGAACATTCAGTTATTGGTTAACCAACCTTGAAGCATTTAAAACCCTAACCATACGGTGAACCCTTTTCTCTTTCGGTTGGTTAACCATACCATGTACTTTTTAAAATTTCGTACGGTTCACCAAAAAAAGTGTCAGTTTTTCGATTTTTCGATTCGATGACTCGGTAACGGGTTTTATACCCACCCCTAAAAATGTTTATCACCGCATCGCTTTTTTGGCAAGCTACAGAGACGGGTGTTGGCTATGAGTAGTGGTTGCATGATGAAGCTGTAAACGCAATAGATACGGTACAGCCGGCTGTACCTAGGAGCATGGTACAGCCGGGTTTTAAATGCAAGTTACAGTGGTAAAAGGTAGGTTGATGGCCGTTGTTGCTTTTTTTTTTCCTCCGCTGCACTTTGTTTTTCGTTGATGGCCACTCCAACTCTGTTCCTTTTTTTTCTCTCTTTTCTTTCCGTTGCTTTTCACGTTCGTAACTTGCTTTTCACTTTTTGTGGCTTTTCAGTTTTCGGTTTTTGTTGTTTTCTTTTTTTAGTTCTTTCTTTTTTTTATTATTTCTTTAACATGCTTTTATTTTTTATTCAATTATTATGCAAATGCATAATCTCAAATTTCTGCATTATAAAACATTTTAGGCATTAATGTTTTGTTCTTCTATTTTTAATATTAAGATGAATATTTTTTATTTCATTAAATATTATGTGTTAATTACTAACATGCGTTTTGTGTTATACTACAATGAATATAGTTTAAAATAAATGTGTATGAGTAAATATCATAAAAACACCACGATATTTATTTGTAACTCAAGTTATTATATTTCTCACTTTTTTAATTACAGATACGAGAGAATGGACCATGATACTCGATTGCATGTTTTTAATACTCAATAGAGGAGATTTGATACTCAACAAAAATGTCTTGATACTCACTGAACTAAAAAAAAACTTATGGTTTTTACACCAATGCTCATTTTATAATTTACGAATGCTCAATCGGTACTGAATTGCACGCTTCTAATATTCAATAGAGGATGTTTAATGCTCGATGAAAAAAATGTCTTGATGGTCAACTAACAAAGTTGATTATTTTCATATTAATGCTCTTATTTTGTAAGCTACATATGCTCAATCGGTACTGATGTTATGCTCATTTTTAAAATATCATATCAATGCATATTTCAAAAATATCATATACATTAGATTTACATATTGAACTTCATAGGAATTGATTGTAGATATAATTTAATAAGTTTGTATAAAAGAAAAAAAAATGAATCAGAAGATATGAATAGGAGATTACGATGCTCAATATTAGACTCCTAATACTCAAAAGAATATGTCCAGTGCTAATTAAAAGTTCATTTATGCTCATTTAACAAAAACCATAATTTTCATCTCAATATAGGAGGTTTGATTCTCATCGTTAGACTTCTAATACTCAATACAAAAGGTTTGATGCTAAATGAAATGTTTTGATGTTCAACTAATAGAGTTTATTATTTTCATATCAATGCCCATTTTGTAAGCTATGTATGCTCATTTGGTATCGATGTTATGCTCATTTCAAAATGTAATATCAATGCTTATTTTAAAAGTATTATATTACATTAGATTAAAATATTAAGAGTTGTTTATAGATATGATTTACTTTTTTATAATAAACAAACTAAGAAAAACAAATGGAATTAGAAAATATAATGCAGAGATCACGATGCTCAATAGAATAGATTTGGTGCTCACTAAACGAACATATCAATGCGCATTTTGTAAGTTGTGTATGCTCATTTGATATTGATATCATGCTCATTTTAAAATTGTCATATCGATGCATATTTCAAAAGTATCATACTCCGTATTACATTAAATTCGCATATTGAAGTTTATAGAAGTGGATTATAGATATAATTTAATGAGTTTTTATAAAAGATAAAATAAGAAAAAGAAAGTGAATTACAATATATGAAGTAGATATCACAATATGCATTATTCGACTCTTAATACTCACTAAAATACGTCTGATGCTCATTAACTGTGTATTAATGCTCATCTAACGAAAACCACGATTTTCATTGAAATTACGAAAATGCCACCGTTTTTTTTAGTTGTGAGATCAGCTTTCTCGTAATAATATGGTGCTCATTATTAGACCCTTAATACTCATTAAAATTGGACTATTGCTCATTAATAGTACACTAATGCTCAGTTAGCAGATCCGCGATTTTTACATTATATTACAAAAATGCCACCGGC